AAATATTACAGTGGGATAAATTATTGTACTTTATCTCCAAATAAATACAAGATGATCAAATGCATTAATGAAACACACCAAGTATTTTTTTAAAGTATGTTTAAGCAGTCATTTTAATACTACTGTGAATGTCTTTCATTTTACAGTTGAGAATAATTTAGTATAGAAAAATGTTTGTAGCTTTTTTCATGTAAATATGCATGGTTGGTTAAAGATTAATGTAAAAATAATATGAACTTTGACAACTTTTTGATGATGCTTTAAATGCAGTTCAGCGTGGTTCCTCAAGATGGCAGTGTCTGCCTGTTTTATCATAAAAGTAATCATGTAAAGCGCAAAAAAACAAGATAAATGCTCACCATTCACATTTGTACCGCCCATCCAGTATTTGTTCACCCTGTCATTACAAGCTCTCCTACTTAGAGATTATGGAAGGGACTAAAATTTTGAGTATAGGGTAATATCCACTGTGAGATAAAATCTAAAAAGAAAAATCACATTTTGTAAAAAAGTATTTGATCACTTGCTCATGAGCCAGATTCCCGACCCTCGGAGACCTGTTATTTTGCTTTTTAAGAGTCCAGCTACACATGATTCTGAATGAGTGGCATCAGTTTGAGGTTGGTAGCTGTCATAAACACACCTGTGCACTCCACAATTTGTCAGAAGTCTAAGTAGCAACATGGGCAAAACCAAAGAGCTGCAGAAAAAAAAAATTGTAGACCTGCAAAAAGCTGGGCGATTGGTAAGCAGCTTGGGGGGGGGGGACTTTTGGAGCAATTGTCAGAAAATGGAACAAGCTAATGATTGGTGATGAATAATGAGTTTCATCCCAATAATACCATACCTACAGTTAAGCATGGGGTTGGAAGCTTCTTGCTCTGGGTGCTCTGTAGAAGGAACATGACGACTGTCATGTATTGTGAAATATTGAGCAAAAACCTCCCTCTCCTCAGTCAGAGTATTAAAGATACTGGGTTTTTTTACATGACTATGACCGAACGCACACAGCCAGGAAAATAAAGAAGGGGCTCTGTGAGAAGCTTATCAAGGTTTTGGAGTGGTTTAGCCAATCCAAAACCTTTGGATCTTGTACTTCCTGTAGAGTGGGGAAGGGGATAATAATTTGGAATATTATTAGGTATATTTTTATATTTGTTTGATATAAAGTTTTATTCAACCACTTATAAGTAGCATTGAATAATAATCTCACATTTGATCACAGTCAGTGTTTGGAAAGTTTGAAAATGGAGCTCTAATACAGTACACGAAAAACACTGACTCCCCATTAGAACATGGAGAAAGAAGCCCAGGTTCTGGAGAGAGCTTCTTAGAGAGACTGCCAATTTTGAAGGTTCATCCTGACACCAGAAACCACGTCAAACAGAACTGGTTTTATCACATTTAGCATGTCAAGCACAATAGCTACCTCAGAATAAAACGTCAATCATAACAATAGTCTCTCGGGTTGGCCCAAGTCAACAACAGGAACTGCACAATGAAAATAAATTACTGCATTTTTGAACACTTGCATAAATCTGTACATTGATCGTCTAATAGTTGTTCTCACACTTAATTGCACTGTTCAACACCTTTATAAAAGTGTTTGTCCTCAAACATGTTTCATGCCAGCCACACCCACAAGAGACAACGAAAAGTGATCGCAGGTTTTTCTGTAAGGGACTGCATAGCTCAGGATTTTTATTGACTAAATACTGACTACAACACATTTGCTTTATTAATTATGATAAAAACTTGGGGCTCACTTCTGATGCTAACCATTTTAACCCTGCAGTGCTTACTTGAATATAGTTGTGCTCATAAGATTACAAAAACTTTTTTTCCATTCGTAGTTAGTGGTTGGGTGAAGCCATTTATGGTAAACAACTGTTTACTCTTTTTTTTTTATCATAATGACAACTGAAACTTTTCAAATTACCCTGATCAAAACTTTTGTATTTCCCATTTTAACATCAATGGTCTCTTGGGGAAGTTGATGAGGTTCTTTATCTTCTCTGTTGGTCCCATTCTTCAATCTTGGGTTGTATTGCGTGAAATGCACGTTTGAGTGCCTCAATGATATTGAGGTTAATAGACTAAGATGGCCACTCCAGAACCTTCACTTTGTTCTGGTTGTAACCAATGAAAAGTAGACTTGGCCTGGTGTTTTGGGTCATTGGAATGTCCATTGGAGTCTCCTTAATGCGCTCCTCAAACAGCCACATCACAATTTTTTCTTTGCATCCCTCACAATTTTTCTGGTGGTTGTAGCAGACTTTTTTTTTCGGTTTTCAACAGAATCCCTCACTTATATCCCTCATCATATTTTCTGAAAAACTTGAGAGCACGACAGTATTTATCTGTTATGTGACCAGTGAGGCAGGGGCAAGAACTGTGTATGTTTTGACTGTCCCTTGATACATGATTACATCCCAAGTCCCTATTATTAGAAGCAAGAACACAGTCTGATGCGAGCTGATATTTTAACTGAACATCACAGATCCAGCTCAAATACATCGGAATACATATGTACCCATTTTTATCTTTTGAAGAGGGAAAATTATTTGATGGTAATAAAAAGATGACATGCCTCTCATTTCACTTAAATACCCTTGATGCAGGAGGATCTTACTTGTCACTCCAGGCTCCATTCCACTCGCCCTGTCCCCACGGGTTCAACACTCTGACGAGCTTCACCGGGTCATTCTCACATTTGACCTGTCAAAACACAGCGTGAGATGAGACGCTTCAATCAAAATGCTTAACTAACTCTAAAGTTTATTACGAGTCTTCATATTGAGTCTTCTTTTTGATGCGAGAAGTGCCTGAGGATCAAGCGATCTATACAAATGAGGTAAGACAGGGCTGTCTCTGGATGGAGCTCAAAAAGGACTGAATATGTTGAAGGAAACAGGTGAAAATCTCAACACGGTTCATAAACAAACAGCGCTTTCTCAATTCTGAAACTCAACATAGATTCAACAAGTGCAGACCAGCTCCAGCAAAGAGCCCGGAGGGCAAACCATTTATGGTAATATAACAGATGTAAGATTGATTAGTAGGATGATGATTTAAACTGTCAGAGGAAACATGGTGAAATACCCGACTGATGTATTTCAGGACATACAGTGTGTTTTGCTAAGCAAGTGCACCTATAAATCCAAAAACATCTGGAATGAACTGTAATAAACACAATCCCCAGCTTAAAATCAGGTGAAACATGTAAGAGATGAGCGTTTGGACACTGCAGACCTGGACAACTAGCCTTTGCTTTATAAACAAATGCTCTTTAGCCTCAAATTTCAACTTCCCTCTAAGAGGTTCTTTAATTATTAAGGTTAAATACTATTCCATAATAATGTATATCACTTTTTTCCACATTTTTTATGTTACAGCTTTATTCCAAAATGGATTAAATTCATTTATTTCCTCAAAATTCTACACACAATACCCATAATGACAATGGGGAAAAACATTTTAAAATTTATTTAGATTTATTTAATTTATTAAAAATACAAAACCTGAAAAATCACATGTACATAAGTATTCACAGCCTTTGCCGTGAAGCTGTAAATTGAGTTGAGGTACATTCTGTTTCCACTGATCATTCTTGAGATGTTCCAGCAGCTTCATTGGAGTTCACCTGTGGTAGATTCAGCTGATTGGACATGATTTGAAAAGGCATACACCTGCCTATATAAGGTCGCAGGTTTCACAGTGCATGTCAAAGCACAAACCAAGCATGAAGACAAAGGAATCGTCTGTAGACCTCCGAGACAGGACTGTCTCGAGGCACAAGGCTGGGGAAGGTTACAAATCAATTTCTGCTGCTCTGAAAGTTCCAATGACCACAGGGGCCTCCATCATCCGTAAGTGGAAGATGTTTGGAAGCACCAGGACTCTTCCTAGAGCTGACCGGCCATCTAAGCTGAGTGATCGGGGGAGAAGGGCCTTAGTCAGGGAGGTGATCAATAACCTGAGGGTCACTCTGTCTGAGCTCCAGCGTTCTTCTGTGGAGAGAGGAGAACCGTACAAAAGGACAACCATCTGTGCAGCAATCCACCAATCAGACCTGTATGGTAGAGTGGCCAGGTGGAAACCACTCCTTAGTAAAGGGCACATAGCAGCCCACCTGGAATTTGCCAAAAGGCATCTGAAGGACTCTCAGACCACAAGAAACAAAATTCTCTGGTCTGATGAGACTAAAATGTAACACTTTGGAGTGAATGCCAGGCATTACGTTTGGAGAAAACCAGGCACCGTTCATCACCTGGCTAATTCCATCCCAACAGTGAAGCATGGAGGTGGCAGCATTATGCTGTGGGGTTTTCAGCAACAGGAACTGGAAGACTAGTCAGGATACAGGGAAAGATGAATGTACAGAGACATCCTGAATGAAAACCTGCTTCAGAGTGCTCTTGATCTCAGACTAAGCGACGGTTCATCTTCCAGCAGGACAATGACCCAAAGCACACCGCCAATATATCAATGGAGTGGCTTCCCAACAGCTCTGTGAATGTCCTTGAGTAGCCCAGCCAGAGCCCAGACCTAAATCCTATTGAACATCTCTGTAGATATCTGAAAACAGCCGTACACCATCGCTTCCCATCCAACCTGATAGAGCTTGAGAGATACTGCAAAGAGGAGTGGGCAAAAAATTCCCAAAGACAGGTGTGCCAAGCTTGTGGCATCATGTTCAGAAAGACTTGAGGCTGTAATTGCTGCCAAAGGTGCATCAACAAAGTATTGAGCAAAGGCTGTGAATACTTATGTACATGTGATTTTTCAGGTTTTGCAACCATTTCAGAAAATCTTTCTACATCGTCATTATGATCATTTTTGTGTAGAATTTTTAAGAAATAAAGAACCACCTATGAAAGGTGCTAATTAGAACCAGCATTCAAAAGTGAAACCAATTTTAAAACCAATCTTGTTAAAGTGGTAAATAAATAAGCTTTAGCACGATTTATGAACATATACATTTCCACCATCTGTGCATAGCTTTCCTGTGGCTCAACTGGTAAATCATTGCTTTAACAACGCAAAGATTGTGGGTTCATATCCCGGAGAAAGCAAGAACTGACAATTTTTTGTTAAAATGTAAGTGGAAATGGAAAAAAAAGTGTCTGCCAAATGTAAAAACAGCCTGTACCTCAAAAACCACAAATAACCTAAGGGCTTAAGGGGTTCTTCAAAGCGAAAAAGTGCTATATAACACCTTCAAACCTGCAAAGAACCAGTAAAGAACCACTGAGGAACCTTTTTAAAGAGTGAATGGAGTATAGTTTCTAACGATATGAGCCTTGAACATATCAGCATTTAATTTTCCTCTGATCTTTAACTTTAAAATTGGAAAGTCTTTGCTAATTTTGATAGTGAATGCTATTAGAGTGTCTGGCCATCACCAGATATAGTAAATAGCTGAATACTTTTTATAATGGTAAAAATGAAACCAGTTGATTCAGTTTAGGCTCACCTTGTAAACCCCCGTCACTGAATATGCATGACCTTGAACAATGCCATTGGGTAGCACTGTGTTTGAAGAGGTTTTCTGTCATTAAGAAGGAAAAAAAATCAAATGAGAAGTTTTCAAGAGAACAAATTATTAATTTCACTCAAATATAAATCAAGAGCCACCAAAAACTGAAGATTTCCAGGAGGGCTAATATATTAATATAAAATCTATATTTTAAGATTGGGTTAGGGGTCACTTCTTACCCCCTGCCGGGTGCCACATGCCATCAAGGCTTTAGATTTAACTGCTCGGTCCATTAGACTCCACAGATCCAGAGGAGGACTTTTGAGCTCAAAGCCAACATGGACCCCACCGGTGAAGTCCAGCAGAGCCTCAGAAACCATGCCAGCATGCATGTCAGCATAAGAGCCACACAACCTGCCAGAGACCCGTTACAAACACCTCAAATACTTCACTGAAGAAATTCGTTTGACTTTAAGAAAATAGTAGAAGCCTGCACCAGTTTCACATTCAAAAAATGTGTTGGGGTGCACAGAAATACAGAAAGCTGGGAAAGACCCATGTGACCAGAATTTGGAATAGTGACATAATTTAATGAAAACCGGCACTTACTTGGCGTAGGCTTTCTCCAGTAGCGCAGGCCAAAACTCATTGGAGGTTTTTGAATGAACAAAAATGAGCCGGCCATCAATAGTAGGTAGTTTATCATCAATAACAACATCAATCCACTTTCCGAACCTCCAGAACTACATTTAAGAGTGGAATGCAAGGTTTTAGATTTGATTTGAGATGTTTATAGAAGCATTTTAAAGAGAACCCACTCTAAAGTGAAATATGCCAGGGTAATCTTTCCCAAACGACTGGTCGCCTGGCATGACCTGCTCCATGATGTCCTTCTGGAAGGTGAGGGCTCCAACTGATGCAAGAAACCAACAGTTTCCTGAGGTAAAGGCACAATCAATGAGGTAAAGTGAGTTTAAATTGGCTTTTATTTATAACGCCAGTCGTTCAGGATAAATAAACAAACCTAGATAGGATCCTTGGGAGTAATCGAACCTGGAAACCCCCTGTACAATAAGCTGAGGGTCTGCTGATATTTTCTAAACAGAAAACACTTTTATTATGATTGAACGAAACATGCTTTGGGATTTTAAACATTTTGAGAATTCTACATAGAACCAATCAGCTTCATCCGAGGAACTGAGACACAAACAATAGAAGCAACTTACAGGTGCCCTCAACCACTGGATGCTTTCCATTTTCAATCCCAGTTTCTTCCTGGGGTCTATGGAGCTGCTGTCCGGAGGAAACGTCTCATCAACAAATCTCTTTTTACTTGAGATGCAGCTTTTCAGCAGCTCCTGGTAATCCTGGTTCAAGAATGTTAGAGGAACATCAAGGGTGCCCGTCCTCTGTTTGGCCGTGGTTTCGGCTCTGGGTTTGCTTGAATGAGGTGGAGGCATCTTTCTGTTTCTTTAGGAAAAGATGCACAGAAAAGTTGGTAAGTGTCTGGTGTCCTCAGAGACACAGGAATCGTGTGCCAACACGTCTAGCTTTCAAAGAGCTATAAGATAAAGTCTTGACTCGTTAAACCTGTTTTGAGTGTTTGTAGTCTCTTCCACAAGTACTTTTTGAGCGTCTTCCCTCAAAAAATTCTAAGTAATTAGTAAAATAACTCTACTTGGATGATTAACATATAAACTCACCTTCTGGAAGTACAGCAGGTTAATGGGATATCTTCTCTTTCTAGGACCAAGTTGTTCCTCTTGGTCCACCCCAAGGCTCTGGAATTCCCTGCACTCAGGAAGGGTGCAGTGCTGAACTGCTTTGTTTTGCTCAACACATCACTGAACAGGTATATAATGAAAGAACCACCCACCTGCTCATTTGCATACAGTTTGTGTGAGAAAAGCCATAGCATTAACCATGTGGAATAAACTCGTTCACAATATTGCACTCGTTTAATGTTAATTTTAGACACTACATGTGGAAAACGGTTTCCCAGACGGTTTTTAAGAGTGTTCGGTTTTGGTAAGATAATACTTTACATGTTAATTTAGCGACTGGCAAAACAGACAATGTAATTGTGCTATCATTTAAACTTTATTTCAGAAACAAAAAACACAAAAGAACTTACAAGCAACAGCAATCTCTGCACCAATGATAACACTCGATAAACTCTACAAGTTTTTACCACTGGGATAAGTTTGAATGATGCAATTAACGGTTTTTAACTGTTACAACGTTACCATAACAACAAAAGTTTAAAAACAAACAATATGAGTCTGGCACAACTTTGCTACTAAAACTCATTCTGTCATCATCAATTTGACCCATTGTCTATAATATTATGTCTACGATATGAAATGCGTCACTCTATTAGCCCAATTAATATTCATGCACATCAATATCAATCAATAGATCAGAAAGGTGTCACTTAATAAAGAAAGTACCAGCACCCACTTGATTGGTTGTGCCCAGTGCTGGGATTATTGCAGGATCAAATCAACTCAACCAATAAAGCAATTCAAAATGGATCCTCCATTATGTTAAAAGAAATCCTCCAGTATGTACCACCTTAACCATCATCTTTATAATCACCAATAATTTCATTTCACTCTTCACCACCATAATCATCAATGTCGTTTTTCTTGTTCGATAAACATTGCTCATAGCTGTTGGGTGAGTAATTGTACATTTGTTATATGAATATATTATTCCGGTATTTAGAGACATCAGACAATATCCATGATTTGCAGCAGTTGTGGGTACTTTGGGAATGCCAGGACGGCTCATACATAGTTTACGGCTTTTTATTTTTTTTATGGGATTCGCTCTTGGAATAGACGGTGAGCATGAACTTGGCGCTCTCGTTTGGTTCGAAAGTGGACGGTACAATGAGATATTGTCCTGGATCGAGTGTGAAGAACTTCATCACATGTCTTGAATTGGTGAAGCTCTCACTTGTCTCAACAGGTCTTGTCCGAGAGAAGAACTTTGCCGGCAATTTATCATCTTTCATCTGAAAAAGAGATTATCCGCTCTAAGACAATTTCATCTTATTTAAGTGAATTTTTAAAAAGACAATAAAGGCTTGCAATACCTCTGATGGTAACTGTTCAAATAAAACAAAAAAAAAAGAGTCATAAATAGAAAGAAACAATTATTAAGCTTTCAATGTTGAAGAGCAGACTTCATCGGATATGGATTTGCGAATGGGACATGGCTAATAAACAGAAACCCTGTGTGTTTGCTGTGTAAGCACAAGTTGCCTAAGTGCATCTAATTAGTATTTTTATTTTATTACAAGCCACCCAACTTTATAATTTACGCATCCTCCAGCATTTTTTTTCCTGCTATGCTTCCTGAACCTCCAGAACCACATTTAAGAGTGCAACGCAAGGTTTTAGAAATGATTTGAGATGTTTATATAAGCATTTTAAAGGCAACCCACTCTAAAGTGAAATATGCCAGGGTAATCTTTCCCTTGCGTCTTTCTGTTTCTTAAGGAAAAGTTAATAAGTCTCAGATCTGGCGTCCGGAGAGACAAATATCTTGCCTTTAATGACCTAAAAGGGAACACTTGATTTGTTAAACCTGTTTTTGAACCTTTATTACTGCAATAATAATCTCATACATGATATAATGAACAGATAAACTCAAATTGGATGAGTAATATGTAACAACTCACCTTCAGGGACGACAGCAGATAATGAGCAATCTTCTCTTTCTAGGACCAAATTGTTCCTCTCTGCATATCCCAAAGCTCTGGAATTTCATGCCCACACTGAGCAATGTTCTCAGAAGTTTAGTTTTCGCAGAATGCTACAGAACAGGTATTTAAACTGAAAAAGCCTAATGCTTTCTCATTCAAACAATGGTTCGCGTGCAAAAGAGTCATGTAAAATGAGGGAAAAAACGCAGTCACTTTTTAAAATATAAATATATTCTATGTGTGATTGTTGGAAAGTTTTAGTAAATTTTGGTCTAATCGACTCAAAGAATATTGGAGCCATGGCCCCCTGCACCACTTTGCCTGAGGAATGGGGGCTTCATGATGACCTATGCTTCCTGATTCCAGAACCCCTCCCCTGTACACATTAATGGGGATGTATTTTTCTCAGCTCTGCCAGGAGAGGTACTTACACATGGGCTTAGAGCTTCTCATTGGTATAAAGAGGCAATGTTCTTTCTAGCTGATCAGAGTTGCATAGCCACTTTAATAAAGCTTTTGAAAGCCTCCAAAGACTACTCTTCAAATGTTTGGATCTTTTGTTCTAAGTGACCCTTTTGGGCCGCTGGAGTAGCAGGTATGTTACGGAAAGATTGACCTGTGTATTTCTTGACTGGAAAGCCTGAAGCATTTTTAAGGTCTCTCTAGAGCCAAAATGGATGGTTCGTCTTCTTGGTAAAGAAAGTGGGGGTCTAAAGGAGACAGATGTCTTCTATGTTTGAATGGGGGCGTTAAGATAAAAATATAGCTAAAATTCCCTCTTTGATCAGTGCTAATGCAAGAACATACCTACAGAAATCTACGGAATTGGGTGAGAACCAGAAGGTTGGCCACAGGAGTTGCCCTGAAGTAGCAGCAACGGTACC